TATATGACTTAATCACAATTTGTTTTTACAGAAAAGTGGGAAAATACATAAATTTCTATAATATATATTATGTATATACACACATACATGAACATTAAAAAGATTTCTTGACTCTTATCGCGAATGCCATACATATGAATTAAAATTTAATACATATATTATATGTGCTCTCCGATGTCAAAGGAACTGACCCCAGCCCTTTCATATCGTTTATAGAACTTGAGTGCATCTAAACGTTCGATTTTTGAATTACAACAATATTTTTTTTTTTTTAATTTAATTAAAGTATTTATTTTGAGGGTGGAAATTCGTAAAACGTAAAAGCTACTACAGATAGCAAATGAAGAAGAAGGAATGCCATATCGATTCGGTAGGATTCGTAATTATTAAATTTAGCTTGAAGGGCATGAAAATAAAAACAAAAAGCAAAACAAATTGAAATGTGCACTCAACGAAGCAAACGCGACGAAGAACGGAAACGGAAAGCAACAGGCCGTCGAGCAGATTGCAAATAAGAAAGTAATACAAAAATCGATTAAAAATATTAAAACAATAAGCAAACTGAAATTAAATGCACGAGAATTAAAAACAAACAAAAAAGTAGTATAAAAAAAAAAAAATAAATTCAACAAAGAGTGATAGATAAAGTATGGAATAAATTGCGCATTAATTATTTGCAAATGATTTAAAGAAGAAATTGAATTATAATAAAAGAAATATTTATTTATTATTGAAGCAATTTTAACATTTCACATTTCTCATTTCATTTTTTTTGTTTTTAGATATTTTTAATTTTTTTTACCTGCTCCGAAATGCCCTTTATAGAGCAAGCAATTGGTGCAGCGAGTGCAGTCTGGATGTAAGTCTCTCATAAACCGAGATCTCACTCTTTACCAGAAGGCAGTATCCATCTGCCTTTAAGCCGGCATTACTAGATTACTATTTCTACCGATGTCAAATACGTAAATAAAATAATTACTTTTGAATTTTCCCGAGGTAAGCCATATTTGTCGGAAAAGGTGATTAAAATTAAAAAGTTCCCTCGACAGTCGAGTTTCTAGGACTGTAGTTACTTTCTTGAGTAATAAGGCCTTTGAGAAACCCGAACACTGAATTCTACATCCGTTTCCGGGAGAGCTAGACTACACGGCCAGTGTTTTCTGTTTTCACAACAATTTCTCAACAAAAATCCCCAAAGAGAGGAATGTATGGAAAACCGTGACTGTTTTGGATCAAAGATCTATACCCATCTTCACTGATAGTTCAAGCTAGACGACAGAGTGAGATGTGGATTTCACTTGGAATATTAGCAAGAGATCTTCCAATCAGTGCAGCGTCTTTCAAGCTAAACTAACAGCAACAATGGAAACCGCTTCACACTTTCTTAACTCTAATATAGCAACCAGCCAGTTTGTAGCCATTAAGTCTCTTCGTTATAACCACATTCGGCAGGGAATGTCAACCTCTCCTAACGTAATTCTGATATGAAATAAAGCTCCTCCTAAAAAAAACATCTGCGGTTCGGAGGCTACTGAGTATAAGCTGTAGATCCTTCTATTTGTTGGGAAAACATCAAGACGCAAAACTACAAACTGGATAAGGTGCTCAGACGAAAATCGCTCTAGCGGTTACAAAGTGCCAATTATATACATATATATAACCACACCGTCTCAAAGTTGGTTGTAAGATGTAGGGTAAACTTGAACAAATTCTAGGCTGCATGCGAAATGACTGTGGATTGGGTCACCGGGTATAGTGACATAGCAGGAAATTACCGGGTCGACGGTAAAGCCCACACGCGATGCAATCGTACAGGACATATTATGCCGTTGGTCGATGCAAAAAAATCTAGGACTCTACACATTATAACCAAAACTTCTGCGAGCACTATGCTTGTTGGATACTCATGGTATAAGAATGACCTACGTCTATATTGACCTTGTGGCGGCTACAAAGAGATTGGCGAGGAGTAGACGGCGCAGCACTATATTTGCTATAGCCCGGTACTAAGTGCAGTTCAACATTATTTCCAAGATAATTTCCACTTTAACTGCCTTGCCGATGTAGCTTCAGCAAGTGTTAATAATATTGCGGATTCATTTAACAAATTAAGTTGGTGCAGGAGCTAGAAAGTTGAGACGAATCTCTTTTAAGTATCACATCGGTCAACAGGCCTAAATGCACTCGATCAAGAGACCCTATGTTGGAGCAACCTAACTAGCTTACCACAATCAAAATGAATTAAAAACTGAACGAATGCACAAAGCAGTTTGCAGGGACAGCATAGAATGGCAAGAAGAAATTAAAAAAGTAAAAAAATAGTCGAAATAAGAAAAATTCTGAAAACCAGTTTGCCAGCAATGCGAGCCGCCGATTTAATTATTCGACTGCTGTGCTCTACACTCGACTCGGTTCAGTTGCATTACTTGCTAGTGAGAGAATTTTTTATTGTATTTTTATTTTTTATTTTTTATTTTTTTTTTTGCTTTTGATGCTGTTCATCTGCTGCTGTTGCATTCTTCTCTGATTCTGTCGCTTATGCCGTTGACGTTTGTGAAAATGCGCGAAATGTGATTGTCACTGGGCGCGCACACACACACAACAACATCAACGATAACAACAATAACAATAACAACAAATACAATAAATGTGACAAGAACAACATAAGCAACAAGCATAACAGATTTGGTCACAAAAACAACAATAACGAATGCATATAATGTATGTATGTGTGTATGCACACGAAAGGGTCAAACGGCGCATTATTTCATACGAAACAGGACAGACACAGACAGCAAACAAGTAATGACAAGTCGGCGCGGTGGGTGGAGGTGTTGCGGATTTTTTTTTTTTAGTATTAAAGTAACGTCTGCTCAGAACTCACGCATACTCGTGCATATAAATGTCTCGTTTCACTGTTCAATTATTCACACACAGATTGGCGGGTAGAAGAATCGCTTGCAAAAAACAGTGTAGAAAATACTGCAATGGATGAGGAAGAGCAGAGCAGCCGCGCACTTTTAATTATTGTATTTACAACACATTCGCAGTTTGTGGGTTGTGTGGCGAGTGGCGGGAAAACAAAAAAATATATGTACGTAGGAAATAGCAGAGAAGCAAAGTTACTAAAACTATAAGCTTTAAAGTAATTTACACTAGTTTACAAGCAATTTTTATAATTTTTTTTTTGGTTTGTTGGAAAATTAATATATTGCTTGCAAATATTCGAAATGTCTTAAAAAAAACTATATTAAAACATCTATATTCTTTATTATATTATTTAATATCATCTTTCTTTTATTATATATGCATATTTATATATAGATATATATATATATACATATATTTATTAAAGCTTTTTATATTAATATATTGTCAACATGATTTTACATATGCAGGAAATCCTATTTGTTTATTATTTGTATTATTTTTTTCATACACATTTGTGTGTATTAAGGAAAATACATAATTGCTTTATATTTGTTTGATATTTTAATTTTAGTTAACTCATTTAATAAGAGTGCGGTTTTTAGAATTATTTATAAATAATATTAATATATTTAAACATGAAATTTTACTTTGCTTTACTAAAAGTGGCCGGAATGTTTTCGTAGAACGATTTAAATTTTAAATGAATTTTTCTTTAAAAATCATTTAAGATTGCATTGTAAAAATTTGTGAATATTTTTAATTTAGCTCGGGTAATAACTGCACGTTCAATTGTTAATTTTAGCACGTTTAACTTACTATGTATATTTATATAAATTTTTTTATAAATATATTATTATTTTTTTTTTTAATTTTGCGATCACAAATTTCTACTATTTTTGTAATTTTCTTTTTTAATTTTTTTAAATTAATTTTTAAATTTATAATCAATTGGCTTTTATAATTATACCTTTTTTTATTTGTATCTCTTATCTTTTATTTTTTATTTTTTTTATTTGTTATTTTTTTTATTTTTTATTTTTTTTATGTTTTATTTTTTACCTTCAATCAATTGCTTGTAGCTTGTATTAGTAATTTTCTTTTTGAGACAGTTTTGTTTTATTTTAAATTTTAAAACAAAATACGCGTAGAAAATTTTTGTTTATGCCAAAAATTTAATAACGCCAAATTTTGCCGTTAATTTATTTCTAAAATGTTTATTCGATATTTTAGCATTTTGTTTTCGAAACTTATTTTTATGTCAAACATACGTGATGAAATTTATTTTAATAACTTTCAAATCGTTCAAATCGAAATTATTATTTTGTTGCTGAAAATTTCAAAAAATTTCGAAGCCCATAAAAACTTTTTAATTGAATATGTATATATTATTATATATTTTTTAATTTTAGAAACTTTAATATAATTAATATAAAAAAAGGTTTGAACATATTTTTCTCAATTTTGGGTTTTGAATTAAAAAAAGTTTTTAGTGCTATTGTTTCAATTATTTTTATTTTTTGTTACAATTATAGATATATTTTTATAATTATTATTTTTTATTTATTGAATTATTTGTAAATTATAAAGCATAAGCACAAATTTATTTTATTTTTGGTTTAACTTCAACTTCCAATAAAAATTATTTTCGATCAAAATTATTTGCAAGCAAAATTTGTAGCTTTACACAGGGACATATTATTACTATTTTACAATATTCTCACATTGTTTGTTATCTACTATTATAATAAGTACGTGAAAAGCTAATCTATCGTACGAAAGAAACGCGCTTCATGACAGAGGCGAAAAGTGGCAAAGAAGCGAATGAAGCAGGGCATGAAGGGGTTCCACTAAGCTCAGCTTTTGCGTTTGACGTTTGGTAAATATTTAAGTTTGCTCGATTCAAAGCGTAAGCTAAAGCGGGACAAAACGATATTGATACACGCAAATGATTGCAAAACCGCACACACACACACATATGTATAAAAACATTTAAGCACACCAAATGAAATCAGCAGCTTCGAGATAAGAAATATTATTTAAATTATACAAGTAAACTATAAAATTATTACCGAATATTGGATGTTTGACGATTTAAAGTTAATTTTTCTTTATGTAAAGTAGAGGGAATTTAAGTTTTGGTTAAACATCTTCAGAACAACAAGCTGACGCACGTCAACAAAGCTCGATACAAATACACAAACACAAATAGCAGCAGTTTGACGTTTCAAGAAACTTGTTTTATATGTTTTATATATACTCGCTTTGTTTTTTTTTCACTTTACCATTTGCATGATATCCAATATGTAAATATATATATGTATACTCGCATGTATCGAGCTTGCACTTTGCACAAATATCAATTTTCCCACTTCACCTTGCTTAATATACATATGTACATATACATAAAAACGTGTGGGGGATTTCCTCAAGTACACTTTCAATAAATAATTTAATAATATTTTTTGGTAAAACCAAATTCGGCTTGAATTTCAAAACACTTTTTTTTAAAACACTCAAACAAAATTAACTTGTTTTTTTGTTATTTCGCAATGCACATTTCCAATACACGTCTTCAAATGACGACAGAAAACACGCTTTAAATTATTTGTAATTTTTTCATCAAACCACAAGCGTGCGAAAATTTAACTAATTTCTATTTATTTATTTCACTACCGCTCTCACGAAAACTGCGCCTACACACGCGACCGTAACGACGTCTCATAGGCAACTGAAGCGCCGACGACAAACCAAAGTAATAATACAATACTAACGACTCCGACAATACCTACCGACTGCGACGACAACGATGACGACGCCAACCAGCAAGCCAGTTGGTAGACGTACGAATGCGCCATGCTGAGCGCCAAACACGCCAAAAATACAAACAGCGAAGGCAGCAACAGCAGCGGCAGTAGTAGCTGCAAATGAAGATGACTTTTAGGAGTTATTGCTGCTGCCAACTGCTGCAGAGCAACAGAAGTATGTTTGGAGTTCCAATTGTACAATATTGAGGCAGGCAAGCCGCTCTTCTGTTTGGTTTCCGTTCGGCGTTTGTAGAGAGCACAGTGTAGAAACAAGTGGTGATGGTGGTTGGCAAGTTGTTTTTAGTACTACTCCAACTATTTTATCGCATGCGATAAATATATAAATGGGCCGTTGACTATAGCTAGTCGGTTTGTTGCCGTCTGAGTGAGAGACACACACAGCTGCTTTTTATTGTCTGCGGGAAATTCTGCCAGCGGCGTACATGTGTGTGTATGTGTGTGTATATGTAGGGAATGTAGAAAGTTTGTTTACATTTTTTTTTTTGTAATTGTTGGTTGTTTTTTGTGTTGGGCAAAATGTCGCAAGGGGGATTAACTGGCATTTGGCGTTTGGATATTCTTAAATTTTTAATATTTCATTGGTGGATTTCCCATGAATTTCAAGCATTTTAGTGCAGTTTGTTGGTGAGTTTTTTAAATTTTTTTTTTAAATATTTGTAAATCGAGCTGAAACGCTGTAAATGTACATAAAGGGTCTATATATTATATACAGCGATTTTCGGCGGAGTTCCTATATGAGGACCTCTTGATTTTCATGTCAGAAACACGCTTTAAGGACTTGACGTTGCTTGCTGAGGAGCGAACGCAATTACCAAATTAAGCTTATTTTTTTATTTAAATTTATTTTCTATAACTTTTGGATGTTGGCCGTCCCAGGATTTGAACAGGGCCCTTTCGAACGACTAAATTTTTATATAAATTATATATTATATATTTTTTCTCTGCGTATTCATGTTCCTCCAACAAATGTACGCTAGATGGCGTTAGAAAGATAATATTGAATGGGAGTGTGGAGTTTGAGTGCCTGTAGAAGGTTGACTCCAGCAATGAGAAAATACGCTGTATTCCACAAATCTTCTTCTCTAAAGGTCCTGTTGTAGTTATTATCTAACACAATTCAGCTTTCCTCGATTTCATATCAGTAATTTTGATCTAAAAGCTGATAAAATTGGAAATCTTCGAGCCTGAATGTCGAGGCGCTAAAAATTGCAAAAAAAAAAAAATAAAAATTTGGAGCTACCATACTTGGAAAAGAAGCAGGGTGTATGAGTGCTACATAATTTGACGAGAACCTCATGGAGCGACTTTTCGCCACATCAATCAAACTCTAATTACGGATCTGTACAGATAACAATTTGATGGAGTGAAGAAAGCAATCACCCAAAATCGCCCACCTTTGGCCAACAAGGGGCAAATTGTGTTTCATCGGGACAAGGTCAGGCGACACTTATTGTTAGTGACTCGCCGAGGCTCCGAGAGCTTGGTTTGACGTTGCTATGCATCCACTTTATACGTACACAGTACGGAACTCGCGCCAAGTGATAAATAACCATCTGTTTTTTTGTATGGCGAATGATTTGAGAAGAGAAAACTGCGATTGTAAATTCTTTTTTTTAGTAGTGACAAGGGTTCCTATGAGCATAATGGACACAAATCAGATAATCAGATTCATTTAGGTCTTATATGTTATGCAAATGAAATTTAATATTTTTGTTTAGATACAGTATCGTCCGCATATCTAAAGCTATTTAGTTATTATCTTGATGGCAACACTGGCTGTTTAACTGACGCTTTGTGTTTTGTATCACTCTCAAACATGTTCAGTTTGTTCTATAATTTAACCATGAATCGTCTCACAAACGAACAACGCTAGCAAATTTGTGAATTTTATTATCAACATGCGAGCTCTCTTAAGAAAGTTCATCGCTGGGAGCGCATTTTTGCCTTAATGGGTGGCGTAAATAAGCAGAATTGTCAATTTTTGAGTGAAGATCAGTCAGAAGCATTGCAAGAGCTACTAACGCGTCCAGTAAAAGTCACAGTTCGGTACTGTTTATGGGCTGGTGGCATCATTGGACCGTACTTCTTCAAAGATTATGCGAATCGTACGTAACTGTGAATGATGAGCGCTATTGTGAGATGATATCAAACTTTTTTTTGCCCAAAATGCAAGAGCTTGACTTGCATAACATGTGGTTTCAAAGCGATACCACATAGATCGTACGGTTTAACGCCTTTAGACTATTTTTTGATGGGGCTGTGTTAAATCTAATGTCTATACAGATAAGACCGCGTCAATTAATGCATTGTAGGGCAACATTGAAGCATTTGTTCGTGAGATACCGGATGAAAGGAGTATGCCAAAATTGGACTATGCGGATGGACTATTTGAGGCGCAGTCACGGTCAACATGTGCATGAAAAAAGCTTTCATGTATTTTTCCGAATTTTATGTGTTTTTTTTTTTAACTTTTCTATAGTTCTTAAGAAATCACCCTTTAGTCTTCATTTCCACCCGAGCTTTGTTCTCTTCACATATCTATTTACTCTATTAATTTTATTTTATTTTTTAGTAAGTTAAAAATCTGTCAAAAAATGAATTTACGTATTATTATTTTTAGCGATTTTATCCCGTCTGAATATTTCGTCTCGTCTGGAAATTTTTTCTGGTCGGGAATGTGTCTTGTATGGATTGTGTAGTGCTTTCAAATTAATATCTGTTATTTGTTTGACACTATTTTCGGACCTAATCCATTGATCTAAGATGAGAGCAACTTAAGGGGACCATGACCTGATTTCGGGCAAAAATAGGGAGAAGTTTTTATTTTTTTGTGGAAGAATGAAAAGGTGTACGAACTTCTGAATTTTACTATTAAATTTGTATATTATTTGAGATTTTAAACAACAAAAAAATAGTCGAAATTCAAAATTGCGGCTAAAAATTGGCGCTTTCCGTAGGCGTCTGCGCGGAAAATATGGCCTTACAACTTCAAGCCTACAGCCTCTTGTAGTAGGCTGAGATCAAAAATCGTTGTCATTGCTTGAAGATCATGCAATTTTCTACGCCCTGAACCTCAATTGAAACAATTTTAACAACAAATTTATTACATAATGCTCAATACTATTAAAAAGTTAAATTTTTTGTTATGTTTTTTTCACTTCCATTACATTAAAAAATATAAATAATTAATTATTAATGCAAAACTTAGGTTCAAGGCGTATAAAAAACTTTGAAACTGTTTTTATATAAAAGAAATCAGTTGGATAGATCAAACTCGGAGCTTGAAGTTAGATCAGAAAACATGGTTTCGAGAAAAATGCGTTTAAAGTTTGTTGAAAGTTCGCAGCGTACGTGATACAGGTGTGTTCGAGAAGCCGCTATTTGAAAAATATTCATCGATTTGCGAAATCCCTTTAAACGCATACTCTACAAATATGTAAAATTAATTTTTGATCCAAGATCAGTGGAGGGTCCCCTCAAGTAAAAGGTTCCTTTACTATACCAAAAACTGTCGTTGAGTTCCCAAATTTCAATGTCATTATTGGATTCGTTGGAAAACTCAATAACTTAAGCAATATATTAGAATAGAAGAAATAGAAGAAAATTTAAAATTAAAAATACTTCAAATTCCTCGAAAAATTAGTTCTCTATTGCATCACATTTGCTTAAATTAGAGCATAAATATATAAATAAACTGAACTCATTGTTATTTCTCGGTTCAAAGATTACAATTTTTATTGCAACCCAGATGCATGCAAAAATACATACCCACATATGTAAGTATGTACAAAGTAACAATTTAGAGCGAATTAATAAAAAAAATCTCTAGAGCAATTTACATTAATTTATATTAAACGCCACAGTTCGACTTGGTTAACCAATTATGACCCGGCTGGCCTTTAATATGAGTGAATGTACGCTCTACTTGCCCGAGGGGGAGTTGCGAAAAAGACAGACGTCTTCTAAGACGAGTATATTAGCCCGAAGTACGTAGATATTTAGTGCAGCAACCACTGAGGCCATGCCAACGCCATGCGTTGCGTGCGAAAATCGAATTGCAACTGTTGCAAGTACAATATTTTCATTGTATGTACTTCACGCATAGTTGCTCGCGAAAATAGCACGTAACCGAAGTGGCGAAGGAATTAAAGAAAAAGCGAACATTTACACGCATGCGCTGAAATGGGCAGAGAGCTGCTGCTCAGCGCCGGTAAAGAAAACAGAGACTTCGGCAAGCGGAAAAACGTTCGAAATGCGGCTTTTCTCAGTAACCAACAGACCGACATTCAGATTACTGAAATCTATTACAATACAAGAAAAAAAAACATAAACACCCAAAACAATAAAATGAAATGGAAGTAAAGAAAATAGCAAAAAAAAAAAAATAATCTTGGGCAATGCTACAACAAAAACAACAACAACAAAAACAACAAAAGAACTAAACTGTGTGGTTCAAAATCAAAAGTGAGCCTAATAACGGTTTAACTAAAAACAGCTGTAGCGTAAAGACAACAGCAATAACAACAAAAATGACAAAGTTTAACGTTTGCTTTCGCAAAAGCAAAAGTTTACACACGAAAAAATTGCACTTGCAATGGGATTTTGTATTTTCCATTGTTGCCAGCCCGTCGTTCGTACTTTTATTATTTTTCTTGTTTAACGACTTCGTCACAAATACGTGCTTTTATTGTTATTGTAAAATGATTTTGTTATTGCTGAGTTACTATGGTTGGCTGCAGTTGCAGTGCGAAGGGTCTTCGGGTGGCGATTGGTCCTCTGTTGCTTTTGGTTGGGATATTCATTTTTAGTTTTGTTTTTTTTACTTTTGTTTCAGTTTTTATGTTCGTTTTTTATTTTTGGTTAGCAAAGTGCAATCACCTCTCAATGTTTGTTTACAAACTAAAGTGCGGTTAGGAAACTTTTACTGTACTTTATTTGTATGTGTATGTGACCGTGTGCCACCAGCATCGAGTACCGGCAAAAA